TCTCTAACTAAATGTCTCGTAGACATCTTAAAATCAATATATCCAAAGCTGAATTCATTATCTTTTCCTCTTAAGCCCTCGCCTCTTCCTAAATCTCATTTTACTGTCCAGGCTACCACCATCATCCTAAGCTCTCAACCAATGACTCATCCTCCATTCCTCACTCTCCCACTCCCCATACCCATTCAGCTGCCAAGTTCTGCCATTTCTTCCTTTATATCATCTCTCTTCTGTGACACAGTTCCCACCCTGATGCAGGCCCTCATTACCTTACCTTTAGACCACTGCAATAGCTGCTGGGGGTCAGCCTGTCTCCAGGCTCTCCCCACTGTGAAACTGATCTTCCCAAAGTGCAAGTCTGACCCTATCAACATCATCGATCAACTCCATTGATTCCCTATTGCCTTAAGAATCAAATACAAAACCCCTCTTTCCTACCTTTCCAATCTTCTTACTCTCCTCTCCACCTCCACCAAGTACAATGCAGTCTAGTAATATTGGACTCCTTATTTTTAGCACAAGACCCTCCATCTTCAGACTCCAAGCATTTCCCCTAGTTGTGCCTCATACCTGGAACTCTCTCCCTCCTCATCTCCACCTCCTAACTTCCCTGGCTTCCTTTAAGTCTCAGCTAACCTTCTCCCAGAAGCCTTTCCCAGTCTTCCCGAGTCTTAGTGCCTTCCCTCTGAGCCTACCCCCATTTCTCCTGACTATATCTTGTTTGTACACAGTTGTTTGCACACTATCTCCCCCATTAGACTGGAAGTTGAGAGTGGGAATTGTGTGGCTTTTTCTTTTCTTTGTGCCCCAAGCACTTAGTATAGTGTCTGGCACATAGTAGGTGCTTAATAAATGCTAGTTGCTTGACTGAATGTAAGAGCTTAGGATGGCCCTTAGAACACAAAATGTTAGAGGTGAGAGAAAGTCTAGAACATAGCACATAGAACATCAGAGCTGGAATAATATATTCTTAGAACATGCAATAATATATTACTGGTATTTACAAAGGACTTCAAAGTGTGCAAAGTACTCTCCTTTCAACAGTCTTGTGAGTGGGCAGTGCTAATATTATTATCCCCATTTTACAGATAGGGCAGCTGAGGATCTGAGAGACTGAGTTACCCATCCATAATCTCACTGCTAGTTAGTACCAAAGCTAGACCTCCTAACACTAAGTCTGACGCTTCAAGGAGGAGAAATACCCACCCCACAGAGAGGGTTCTTTCTCTACTTGCCTAGAAAAGAAATTTGAAACCCCAAAGCACTACAGAGTCAGGGCTATTTTTCACCTAAGGGTCCTCCCCCCTGTGATGGAGCATGGGTTCTTAGGCCCCAGTAACCTTTACAAATAAGCCTCTTAGTTCCTGCTTTCTTGTTGGACTCCAGGGACTGACCATTTGTGACCTTCCTCCCCCCAGGGCTCCATCACAGACTGGGAGGTCAGCTTTCCACCTCTACTCAAGCCAAGAACAGCCAGCACTTGGCATTGGGTACCTACTGCTTGAGGGAGGGCAGAAAAAGGATGAGTAAACATCAGGAGAGTGGGTCCTGTGCAGAACTGGGGGTGGGGCAGAGGAAATTATAAGATCATGAGAGTGAAATTCTCCTCTCTAAATCCCGACTACACCCTACCATCTACCACCAGCTATTGTCCTATATCTTTCCTCCCCTTCTCAGCCAAGCTCCTTAAAGCGTAATGCCATCTGTAGCTGTGCCTCCCCTTACCAACCCTGTGATCTGGCTAGCTGACCTCATCACTCAGCTGAAACTGCTCTCTCCAAAGTTACCAATGATCTCTTAACTGCCAGATCTGATGTCTTATCTCAATCCTCACCACGCAGCATCTGACACAGCTGACCTACCTCCTTCCGGGCTCTCTCCTAGTCCTCCTCCTCCCACTCAAAAGCATATGGAAGTGATTATTGATAAATAAAAATAAATTAATAAAAAACACACACAAAAAATAAATCTATGTTTATTAGCTCCACTCACCCTGGAGCAGGCAATCACTTCACACCTGGACTGTTGCAATAACCTGCTCCAAGTTTCTTCCCACCATTAAGCTGCCAGAGTGATCTTCCTACAACAATCTGACCACACTACCACCACCACCACCACCATCCCTCCCCATAATCAATAGATTCCTGTGGCTCCCTATTACCTCTGGGGTCATATGTAAAGTCCTTTATTTGGCATTTGAAGGTCTTCACAACCTGGCCCCTTCCTACTTTCTTGTCCTCTCACATATTAGTCCCTCCTTTTACTCTGTGGTCCAGCCACCCTGGCCTCCTTGTAGTTCCAAACAAGCAATGCTCCATCTCCCATCTCTGTGTCTTTGCACTGGCTATCCTCATGCCTGGGATGCTTTCCTCCTCACCTCCACCTTGGAATCCCCGACCTCCTTCAAGACAGCTCAGATGCTACCTCCTACAGGAGACCTTTCCTGATTCCTCCATGCCTAACAACTGCCAGTGACCTCTCTCCCAGAACTACCTTGTATTCATTGTTATAGACTTTTCATAGACTTTTGCAGAATATCCCCAAAGTCCCTAGGCTTTAATAACTTCAGAAGCATAAATGCTTAAAAATTATGGGGGGGGATGCCTCTGATTGGTTCCCAGTAACTGGGATGGCCTCTGTGATCATTGGCAGCTGAGAGTCAGAGGGGACAGGCCTTTGTAGGAAAAGCTGCCCCCCCCAAAGTCAATAAATTAAAGCTACGGAATGACTTGTGGTCCTTTCTTAGACACTTTCTTTCTCTTGTCTTCAGTCTATGGTGCAGCATGGGGTTGTGGGAGGGGATTCCTCCCTGCTACCCCCACTCCCTCTCTTACACACACACACACACACACACACACAAACACACACACAGGAAACCGTGACTGTTAGCAGTTTGTACTTGCCTAGGTCTAAACTTCCTTTTGCCTTTGATTTTCCTTTCCTGAACCCAGGCACCAAATGTAAGAACAGAAAATGGACTTCCCATGACTTGGAGCTTATCTTACCTTGAGTAAACCCAAGGCCAAGATTCCCCAAGTTCACCAATTTCCAATCAATTAGAGAGTTCCTCAGGTGATCTAATCAGGCACCGCCTCCTCAACCAGGTGCTTCTGGGAAAAGGCAGAGGACCCCTCCCAGAGGCATGCCCTGACACCGAAGGGCACACCACTCAGGGCAAGGGATCTGGACCTTGTCAACAAGGCTACAGCCTGGAGTAGTGAGGCAGGGCAGGTCTGGGTTAAAGCAGAGCACCTGCTTGGTGGTCCCAAAGTGTGCTTGCCTTCAGAGTGATGGGCACTTTGGAGGCTTATTTTTCCATACCTGTTCATGAGTGAGTGCTTCCCATCTTCAGTCTCCCTCAGGGTGAAATAAAGGCTGTGCTGTGCCCAACACCCACATTTAGTGCTGAAAGTGTGTAGAGGGCACCCTGTTACACACTTTTGGAGGAAACCTAAATATATTGTGGTGGTTTCCCCAGGACAAAACTCCAGAGGGAAATAACAACCTAGAGAGAGAAAATGACCTTCAAGATGAGGCCTTGTTCCTGTGAGTCCAGCATCCTTAGGAGACCCTGGGCCTTTGGTCATGGGGTGATACTGGAAATGTGCCAGCTAAACAGCTAGAGTTGTTTGAAACAACTAATGGCAGCCCTTTTATTTTACAGCTAAGGAAACTAAGTCCCAAAGGTCATGGATTTAAACAGCTCTACCATTTACTTCCTGTTTGACTTAGGCCCCATCTAGGCCTTTGTTTCCCCATCAATAAACTGAGGGTGTTTGTCAAACAAATTGAGGGTAGAGTTTGGGAGGTAAGATGGGTTGGAATGGTTTTTTGGTGTTCATAGCCAAGCCGAACAGAGGAGAGGATAGACGGACGGAGTCAGGGAGAGAGTCAAATATGAACTCTCTTGCCTCCACCATTGCTCATGCTGGGGTGTAGTCCAGAGGGGCAGTGGAATATGCTTTCTGGTCAAAGGCCCTGAGTCACTGGGGCCTGGGCTTATGTGACGCCTTCCAAACAAGGGCCTGTTGTGGCAGCTGTCATGGAGCTGGTGGGAGATGAAGTCAGGGAGCATGGCCCAGTGCCAAAAGTGGGGGGGGGGGTAGGGGTCATCTCTACAAATGAACCAGGAAGGCCTACCCCAGACAAGAGAAGTGGAATTGTGTGGCCCAATCGACAAGCTTGCTGAGGATTAACTCGCCCTGGATGCATTTTAAACCTTACACATCCTAGAGTTGTATAATGGGAGATAGTCCTAGGTCAATAGACTCCTCCAGCTATTTGGGGTTTCTTCCAACACTAAAATTCTATGACTCTAAGTGGATTTGCCCCAAGGTCAATAAACAGCAGAACTGAAATCTGAATTCAGGTCCTCTAACCTGGTTCAGATCCATAGTCTGATGCAAATTAGTCATGTGACTTTGGGCAAGTCACATCACCTCTATGTGCCTCAGTTTCTCCATCTGTGAAATGAGGATGATAATTCCTGAACTGCTTCTCTTGCAGGGCTGTGGTGAGGAAAGTGATCTATAAACCTTACTGTGCTACAGAAATGTTCTTTCCTATTGTTTCCCACCCTACTTCTGCCTCAGGGACTAGTTGTCACACTCCAAACCCTCCAGGAACCCTCTCTACAACATCCCTGAGCAAATGATCATTCTGTCTCTGACTGGTGCTCTCCAAGGATGGTCCCCCACTGCTGGATTGCTCTGATGGTCACAGGTTCTCCTTATATACCCCCGTTGCTCCTGGTTCTGCCCCCTTGGACCAAGAAGGACAACGTGAACCCTTTTCCTAATCTTCAGAGCAAAATAACAGGGCCGTGGAATCTGAAAGCTGGAAGGGACCTTGGAAAAAATCTGTTCCAACCTGTCCTTCAAGTGGACAGGCAGACAAGGGGTCTCCATCTTCCCCCAATACCCCTCCAAACCACACAAAGCATTCCCTTCTTTTCATTCTCCCCAGGACAAAGATACCACTGACCAGAAGCCATAGCCACTCTGTAAAACTTTTATTTAGAAATCTTATTCCCCAATATATTCCTCATATACATATGCTTGCATGTGCACACACACACGTGCGCACACACATGCACACACACACACACACACACACACACACACACTCACACAGACACAAGTGCAAGCACACTCGTCACCACCAAAAGGCCTTTTCTCTCCCAGAGTAGCACTCCCCAGCGCTCGCCTTGGTGATCCTCCAAGGCAACGGTACCAAGGGTGATTACTCCCTCTCTACAAGAGCATTCTCTTGCAGAGACCAGCCAAAATCATCCCCTACAGTACATGGACCCAAGGAGCTGCCCCTGGAAAGTGTGGGGAGCCACGTACGTACACAGACATAGGGCAGGGACCAGAGGAAATCTGGGCTCTCAGGGGGCCAGGTACCATTGAAAGCAGAAGTACAACTAGACCCACTCCCAAAACTTGAGACGAAATGTAGCTGCTAGGCTACAGCCACTGGGTTTGGTCTCGTTTGGAGAAATTTATGAAGATTGTACCATCATGTCTTTCAGCTACACACATACACATGGAAAAAGACAGAATATGAGTGAAAAAATAGGCAATTTCCCCAAATTGTCACATTGGCCTTTGTTCTCAAAATGTTTCCTATCATAACATTCTTTTCCATTATCCTTAGAATGTTATTTATGCTGACTTCTTTTGCATTTTCGGTGCTATTTTCCCCCAATAGAATTTAAGCTCCTTGAGGGCAGGCACTGGTTTGTTGTTTCTGTTTCTGTCTGTGTTCCCAGCAGCTGACACAGTGCCAGACATACAGCAGGTGCTTAATGAATGCTTGTTGAATGGAACTGAATTGTTCTCCTATTTGTTTTAGTCCTAGTCTTAAAATTTTCTTATTTCTTTTAGGGGAAAGGAAAAACCAAATGATTTTTGAGTCTCTGCTAAAGCCTTGGCCACCTTCCCACACTGGATCAAGTTGGGTTGATCCTGTGGTAGATCTATTCCCATGCTCTCCCCTAAGCCTGACTCATTCTCTGACAACCCCTTTTCCCTTCCTGCTCCCCTCCCCACACACAGACACGCACCTCAGCCTAAAAGAACGAAGGTGTTCTGTTGACCAGAGTGTATCTGTTGACCAACACCTGATGGCCTCAATTATCCAGAGAGTGACAGAACTAGTTCAGGGCTAAATTATCTGGATAATGTACATGTGTGGAGAGCAGGAGAGAGTTCACTGTTGCCCAGAGAGCTTGAGCTATAGCAAAAGCCAATGGGTATTTGTCTGGGGTGGGAAAAAACCACTTTCAGGAGGGATGCTCATAGTAACACCCCCCTCTTCCTTATCTTTAATCTTCCCCATAGCTTTTCACATACATAGCCTCCAATGAGCCTCATGACTACCCAGGGAGAGAGCTGGGATTCTGATCCTGCCCCATTTGTCACATGGGAGAACTGAGGCCCAGAAGGGAGAAGCACCCTGCCAAAAGTCACACAGCAACTCAGAAGGGAAGTATGGACTAGAACCCAGGTTCACAGCCTTGGTCTATATCCAGCTATCCACATGGTTCCAGTTTACCAAGGACAAAGCTCTCCTGCTCTCACTGGGAAGTCCAGGTGTCCCCCACTCCCATTTTGCTGGTCAACCTGTCATGTTGAAACTGGGCACCAAGCCCCAAGCTACTCTCTAGATCTCTCCTGGTTTCCATAGCAGCTTTGTGTTTGAAAATAGGAGCCCACCAGGAAGGTGCGTATAAGGTATTAAATACAAGGCATAGAAAATGGGAGCCCCAGGAGAGGCAGGGGCTGTGTTTCTACCTTCCAATTGACCATAGACAAATAATTTCACCTCTGTTTCTTCATCTGTAAAATGGAGACTATTTGATAGCAAAGGATCAAGCAAACCTTGAAAGTTGTAAAATGGAAATGATCAAGGTGAGTCATGGGAAGTGGGTCCAGGGAGCTCAGAGGAGAGTAGGTACAGAAACACTGAGAAACCCTCAGTGCCCCCTACCAAGTCAGGCTATTGCTACCTGCCCCCCCAAAAGGGGGCGCCTCTCTTCAGGCACAGGGCAAAGCCCCCGTGCCATCAAAGCCAGCCACTGCTGGACCATGGACAGGTAATCTGCTCAGCTCCCTACACACAGCTGGACCTCAATGCCTGCGGTCAGAGAGCAGGTAAAGTGTCATGATGTGGTCAGGGTTCAAAGACCCTCACTAGTCCTGCTGCAGAGGGATAGCCAGGCTTTCAGACAGCACCAAGCAGTTGGTCTCTATTTGACTGAAAAAGAAGCCTCCAGTGAGAGAGACAGAAGGGGGACTGGAGTCTTTTTATAAATACTGGGGGCTTCTTTCTCCAGCACAGCTATAGGCAGACCTCACTCTATGCCAACCTGATGTCCAATGCTTCAACCTTACACATGAGACAAATTAAAGAGTGATAATTCACCTTACAAAAAGAATTCTTCACTTTACAAAAGGGGTCACCCTAAGAGTCCTTCAAAACAGAATTCGATGTATAAAACTTCAGTTTACATGTGACTTTCTCAGGAGCATGACCACCATGTAAATTGAGGTGCCAGAGGCTCAAGGGCTGTTTGTAGGTATCCCAGGAGTAGAAGAGCTTGGAGTCTTGCCTTCAACCTAGGCCAGGTTTCAGGTCATTCGGGGGAGCCCCCATCCATTCCCAGGCCAATCCGTACTCATCCCTGTTCAAGGACACCCAGGAACTTGGTGTCTAAAAGGGCATTGAACACAGAACTCAGACTCTTCAGGTCCAGCACTCCATTATACATGACCAGGTTCCCCAGGTCTCATCCCCAGTCAGCCCAGAAGCCTGGGATTGGAGAAGAGCAGAGCTGAAAGGACCTTTAGAGACTACCAAAGCTAAGGCCCCCATTAGAGATCTGTGCAGGGTCACAGGGCTTGTGAGCAGCAGAGCTGGGAGCAGACTCTGGGAAGGTGAGAGTTTGGAGAGACCACCCAGTCAGTCCCATCTGAGGATGGGGCTGAGGCCTAGAGAGGAGAAGAAACTTCCCCAAGGCCACACAGTAAGTCAGTAACAGTTAAGTCAAGAACCCAGGTCTCCTGACTTTCAGTCAAGGGTCCTCGGCTCCCTTGATAGCCCCTTCAACCATCTGCTGGAATTCCTACAGTGTCTACAGTCAAAAAGCTAGCATCCAGGAACGAGAGGAGCAATCAGCTTCATTCCCAAACCAAGCAAATGCATTTTTCTCCGGGGTCTTGCATTATCCATGCCCCCCACTGGGGAAGGCATTGGTGACTGTGCATAAATTGTGATTATGCCATCTGTGAGTATTCTGATGACAACTGGCCATTGAGGCTGCTCACAACTCTGAGAATGAGGGACCAGGGGTGATCACTTAGCAGCTGCAGACTGCTGTGGTGGGAGGGCCAGGGCAGAGTGGGACAGAGCACTGGGTACCTTTCCTTCCATAGGAGGGCTCAGAAGCTCCCACCTGGAAAGTGTTGACTTTCCACTCTCCCCACCATGCCTCCAGCCCTCAAGTGACCACTAGTGTACAGAGTCATGGAGGCCAGGAGCCTGGGTGACTGGGGTTTAGACCATCCCAAAGGCCAAAGTCTGAAAGCATGATTCAGTGTTATGGGGTAGGACAGGAATAGGGGGAGTTCCTGGGGCCTTAGACTTGGTTCTGGGGATCAGGTGGGGGTGGGGCTGGTAGGTGTCCAGAGGTTCACAGAGGTACAGGAGCGTGGGGGAGAGCTGAGTCTTCTTCCTTGTACACTACCAACCATGCTGTGTCCATAGAGATGCCAACTCCAGGGCCAGAGGGGTCAAAGTCCAAGGATCCAGGAGGGAGAGAGTCACCAAAGACATCACTTCAGCTTCTGACCATACACACATAATTCCCATGACACGTGACGTACAGGGTTCAGCCAGATAAGCCAGGCCCAAGAAAGGTCATCCTATTCATCCCCTCTGCTTCCAGGCCAGTCTTTTTCTAGCCTCTGGACTGACCATTTCCCCACTCCCAGCATCCTGCTCCATCCACTGTCCCTATGCTGCACCCCAAGTCTGCACCATCCCAGCCACAGGAGGGCTGCCCTTCGGCACAGCCCATCACCGTGGGCCAGTGCCATCGGCAGGCAATAGGGCAGGGTGGAGGCTTCGAGCTGGATGCTTGGGCTCTGAATCCTCAGTGTAGCTGTCAGGGCTGGCAGCGCCATCCAGGGAACTGCCACAGCTGGAGTTGGGAGAGAGAGCATCATGGAGGAGGTCATCGGTAGGTGGCCCAGTCCCAGGTCCTGTCCCGCCTCCGCTGCCAGCTCCTCCAGTCCCCACGGGGTCCTTGGCCACGCGGCCCCGCTGGCTGCCCTCCTCCTCTTGGTCATTGAGGAGTTTGGCTAAGAAGTTGATGTATTTCATAGCCAGACGAAGTATCTCATTTTTGCTCAGCTTCTTATCTGGTGGATGGGTGGGAATAAGTTTTCGGAGTTCAGCGAACGCCCCATTAACGTTTTGCTGCCTCCACCGCTCCCGGCTATTGGTGAAGATGCGCCGGACAACCTTGGTATGGGGGCCTGTTGGAGAGCATATGGGGGGAGGGAACATAACCAATCAGTCCTGTCCACTCCCCGCCCCCAGTAGCTCACCCACCCACCACACCCCTTACAGACTGCAAGAGCTAGAAAGGATGGGAAGTACAATGAACTTCTAGTCAGGAAAATAAGTCCAAATTCTGCCTTGGACACTTTACTGTGTGACCTTGGGCAAATCACTTAATAAGAATAGCTAGTATTTCTAAAGCAGTTTGCAAAATGAGGTAGGTGCTATTATTATCCCTATCTTACTGATGGGAAAACTGAGGCTGAGAAGTTAAGTGACTTCTGCTCAGGGTCACATAGCTAGCAAGTGTCTGAGCCAGAATCTGAACCCTTTTTTGTCTTCCTGACTCCAAGGTCAGTGAGCTGTCCACTCTGCCACCTCACACTTAACCCCTCTGGGTTTCATTTTCTTGATATAGAAAAATAAAATAAGTGGGGTTAGACCAGCTCTCTAATCTTCCCAGAGTGGGCTGAGCCATGGCCATGTTGGTGCCTAAAGTCACACAAAGCCACCGAGCACCACAAAAAAAATAACCCATGGACTTTCCTTCTCTCCGTTTTGTTTCTTTGTTTCTGTCTCTTCCCTCAGTTCTTTCTATATGTAACTCTGGCTCTAAGCTTTTGTATATTTAGCTCTCTACTTTTTCTCTTTGTGTGTGTGTGTGTGTGTGTGTGTGTGTGTGTGTGTCTGTCTCTGTCTCTGTCTGTCTCTGTCTCTTTCTCTCTCTCTCTCTCTCTCTCTCTCTCTCTCTCTCTCTCTCTCTCGTCTGTCTCTGTCTCTGTCTGTCTGTCTCTCTCACACAGTGGAAAGATTTCTGAACTGGAAGACCAGCCCCTGGGGTTAAAGTCCTGGCTCTGGCCCTTTGCAGCAGTGACTTGCAAAAGAAGAAGGATCTCTGAGGAGTCTCTCCACTCTGATGTTTCCAGGTCCCTTCCTGATCTGACCGTCAGTATTTTGTGTTCTAAGGCCCCTTCCAGACAGCCTATTTTTTTTTAATCTAGGATTCTTTCCAAATTTAGGATTCACTGTTCTAAGGTCTCTCCAAGTTCTTCATTATTACCTCATAGAACATTCAATCCTGAGATCCCAAATCAAGAATTAGAAGGGACCTGAAAGTTCATTCAGTCCAACCTCTTCATTTTATAGATGAGGAACCTCTTGTTTCCAGAGAAGTCATGACTGGCCTAAAGTCACACAAGTAGTGTCAGTAGAAGGCTATTCCAAAGTCCCTCCAAGCTCTAATATCTTACATTCTAAGGCCCCTTCCAGTTCGGACGTTCTCTGTTCTCCAGCCCTTTCTGGGTCTGACACTCTCAAACTAGTCCCTTCTAGACCTCTCTAGTTTCATTCCCTCTGTCTGTGGGAAAACAAGTTTTCTGGTGAATGAATTACTGCCCCAGGGAGTGAGACCAGCACACCAAGGCCCCTGAGGGACTCCTCCAATACCCATCAGTCCAGCTGGGCTTCCTGCTCTCTGAGGCCCAGGACAGAAAAACACAGCACACCTGCAGGGCTGTCCCTAGGAGGAAATGGAATTTGGCCCCAGGGCGTCAGAGCTCTGGATAGGACAGCTCCACCTTGGCTGGGATGTGGGAACCAAAGCCAGCTGAGACAGCTATGCTCTCCACCTGTCAGTCCTCCCTAACATTGATTTCTACACACATACACACACACACACCCATCTTTCTATTCACTCCCCAGGTCCTCAGGGAAAGAAATGATGCTGGAGTGTTGGAGTCAAAGACTTAGTTTCATCAACTGTGCCTGATCTAAAGTTCACATCTCTCCCAGAACTGCAGAACAGGGCACTGCACACAGCAGGGGTTTCACAAATGTCTGTTGTGTTGGCTTGAATAGAATTGAATAAGAACTCCCTCATTTTTTACAGAGAGGGGCACTAAGACCCACTGAAGAGAATGATTTGTCCATGGTCACACAGCTAGTTAGATGATAATATCTTCTCCTTTAATCTCTTTCCCTTCTTTGCTTCTCTATTCTCTTTGTCTCTCCACTTTCCTTCTTATCCTTTTTCTGTTCTTTCTCTCCAATGCCCCCGCTTTTTCCAGTTTCTCTATTCCTATACCTCCTCCTCTCTGTTTCTCTTACTCTCACTGGGAGGGGGAGGGGAAAAGTGTGTCACTCACTGGAAAGGCTGGCACAAAGTAGGGTGTTTGTTGAATTAAATGGGTGTTTTTTTACCCCCTTCGAATTTTGTTACCCCCAGGTCCACCAGTCAGCATCACTCTCTGGTTCCATAGCAACCTAGACTGCCTGTAAACACTTCTGAAAGCCCAACTTGGACTCTGTCATCTATATACCTATAATGGTTACCCTCTCCTCCCTGAGCCATGGCCAACCCTGAGCCTGGCCTTCAAGGCCCTCCGTAATCTGACCCCTACCTACCTGCTCCAGCCTAATTACAAATTACCAAGGTCCTCTCTATATCACTATCCTCTGGTCACACTGGCCTCCTCATAGGAGGCCTTGGCCTTGACCATAGAGCTTTAGGTCTCAATCCCAGCCTTCCCCCAGGGCTCTTTCCACTGGCCCAACTACTTTGTGCTTGGCAGAATAATGTCACCTTCAATTTCACAACAGCCCCAAGGGGAGACTGAGGTACAATCTTTCTCAACAAACAAAAAGACTGAAAATTAAACTGGGCTTGAGGGAAGCTCCACTGAAGGCTATGGGGTGGGGTAGGGCAGGGTGACCCATCCCCAAGGGGGTTCCCAGTGGTGTTGGGGCCAAGTGGGAAGGAGAAAAATGATGGACTTGATCACTTAATCCTGGTAAATTACAAACCAATCTTGAGAGCAAAGATGTGAGCATGATGTGAGGATAGGGATTGGGGCTGCTGCAGAATGGGTTTGTGTGTTTGGGGAGGGAGTGGGGGATGGAGGTAGTAGCCAGGAGGATACCACCAGTCCAGCCAAGCTCTACTGGGCTTGACACTATTGGTTATGGGAAGGTGTGTTGCTACTCTCTTTGGCAACATGTGTGCCTCCTACATACAGGTGATCAGCCTCCTGTTACTATCATCATTACTGTTTTAGGAATGAGTGCATAGCATTATTGTGCTTGTATATTCAGATCTATGTATTATGTGTGTGATTTGAATGTTTGTGTATGTATGTGGTGTGTGTATGTGTGCATGATACAAATATGCCCTTGAAGTTATCTCAGCCAAGCTTTGTGTCTCCACCAGACCCATACATAGGAGGTCCTTAATAAATGTCTGCTTAATTTTATTTAATCTGGCAATTTTCAGCAAGGATAGTTTAACTCCAAACTGTCTGCCCTTTTCCCCCTAGCATGGACATGGGCCCCACCTTCATTTACACTATTCCACACATCCTCACCATCAGCAGAATGATTATCAGGAAAACTTCAAAAGTAATGAGATGACTTAAAAAGTGAAATGCTGGGCTTGAAGTCAGAAAGCTCTGAGTTCAAATGTTCCCTCAAGACTACCAGCTGAGTCTGGGCAAGTTATTAAAGGTCATTCAACCTCTGTTCCTTCATCTGTAAAATGGGGGAAATAATATGACCTACCTCAAATTATTACTGTGAGAATCAAATGAGATAATATAGATAAGGTACCAGGTAAGGCTTAAAGGGCTATATAAATACTAGCTATTATTTTGTAACAGTGAGATAGAGAAAAAAAAGAATCATACACCTCTAGGGTTTTGGTAGGTTGTGAGGTAGAGAGATAGAGGAATATTATCCTCATTTTTCAGAGGAGGAGTAGTCCAGTGACTCAGTCAAAGTCACACAGTCAGTAAAAATCAGTCAGGATTACTAACAATAACAATAATAGCAGTTAGTGTTTATATGGTGTTTTAAGGAGCAGAGGAGAAGAGTGTTTGGAAGAGGAGAGGAAAGGAAGAAGAGAGGGAGGGGAGAGGAGAGTAGGAGAGAAAAGGAGGGGAGGGGAGGGGGAGAGGATGGGAGGGGAGGGGGAGAGGATGGGAGGAGAGGGTGAGGGCAGGAATGGGAGGGAAGGAGAAAGGAGAGAAGAGGGGAGGGGAGAGGAGGCATGAAAAGAGAGGGGAGACATAGTGGATAGACAGCAGACCTGGGGTCGGGTTCAAGGTTCAAGCCCCAGATACACACTGATTGTGCAACACTGGACAATTTGCTTAGTGACCCAAACCACTGTCTAAGACTCTAGACTGCAGAGTAGGGGCCAGTCTTCCTTGTTCCACGGAGCATCTGCACGGAGCATTCCCTACATCGATGCAGCAATGAAACAACGATTCTGGGGTGTGTGTGTGTGTGTGTGTGTGTGTGTGTGTGTGTGTGAGAGAGAGAGAGAGAGAGAGAGAGAGATACGTATTTGTGAATATATGAAATTCTATGTATATGTGGATATACATACATACTGAATACAGTAAATAGGGAAATGTATTGGAGTCAGAAATCTCTGAGTTCAAATGTTTCCTCAAGTCTACCAATTATCTGACTCTGGGTAAATTGTATTAAACAGTTTACATATACATATATTCTATATACAGTATGTATGCAGCTATACCTGAATATGTGTATCTATGAACATGTACTATCCGTGTGCGTACCAGAGGTAAAAATGACTTGGGGTGGGGGTGGGGGAGGGGGCTCAGAGCTGGAATGTCACCAATTCGGGATTAACTACCCTTCTACAATTTACGGCTTTAGAGAATTGCCGGAGAGCTGAAGGGTGAAGGGACTCCCCCCAGGTTGGCCGGCAGTCAGTTTAGGTCTGAAGCAGTACTTGAACTCGTTTTTTCCTGGCTCTTGGGCCAGCAGGACCTGTTCCCTGACTCTCTTACTATTAACTAAATAGCTCAATAACTGTCGCGCTATTGAGTTCTCCGGGGAAGTGGGGGGCAGCGGACTCAAAAGGGGGCCAGGCCGGGCTAAAGGGCCAGGCGGGGCGGAGCGGGGTAGGAAGAAGCCTAAGGGAGGACTGACTCACCGTCACTGATCTCCACTTCGTAGGGCGAGGGTCTCCTCTTGACGCGATTGTTGCTGGTAAACACCGGGAAGGGGTCTGGCTCCCCGAAAAACCCGCTGTCAGGAGGAGAAGGAAGGGGTGGGGGAGAAGCAGAGTCAGATATGCCAGTCTCCACCACCTTCCTGGTAGGCGCAGGTCCGTCACACACACAACGGGCTGGGGCCGAGAGAGTGTGTACTAAAGTTTAGCCCAAAGTCCTTTGCCCACCTCCCTCCTCTTCCCGTTCTGGACTCCTTCGTGAAGAGTCGAGGGGCAGCGAGGGCCCCCAGGAAGTCCAGGGCCCTCTCCCAGTGAACCTGAGTCAGGAGAGGGGGTAAGGAAGAAAAGCTCACCACACACACACACACACACACACACACACACTCGAAGAGTGGGCGCGAGTGGGAGATGGGGAACGTCTATCAATTTTAGAGCCTTGAAAGTAAACAAGACCCGGCCTAACGCGGGAGGGGCAGCAGGGCACTTCAGGGTTCTTTCAAGGATCTCTGGCTCCACAACTTGCCGGGGTAGAAGAGGAAGCCGATGAGGCGGACATCATACACATGCATACGGCTTCCCTCTAGCCCCAGCATTTTCTATGACGCTCTTCCAACAGTCAGATGGAACGACCAGGAGCGGGGAGGGAGACTTTTTAGAATAGCAGACAGGTATAGGAAATGAGACCCGGACAGAGAGAGCGATGGACTTTATGAAATGGCACACACACAGAAGGCAAAGACAAACCGAGAGAGCCCTAATAAGCGCAGATCAGCTGGAGAATCAAGGAGAAAGAGGCAGACACAAAGAGACAGACAGACACAGACACAGACAGGAACAGAGACCATAAGTGGAGACAGAGAGACAGAGAAAAAAGGAGGAGGAGGGGAGACAGAGACAGAGAGACAGAGAGAGAAGAGAGGAAGAAGGAAAGGGGGGGGGGGGAGAAGAGTGTACTAGGGTAGGGTCTGAGAAAGGTCAGACACGAACTCAGTGCAGCGAAGCAAGGACAAGAATAGGAAGACAAACCGATCCCCTTTGCTTGCCTTTACACGCACACACCGCATGCACACACAAACATTCAAATCATACAGACATAATACACAGATCTGAACACACAAGCACGATAACGCTATGCACTCATTCCTAAAAGAGTAATGATGATAGTAACAGGAGCCTGTCTCTCGTACGTAGGAGGCACACATGTTACCAAAGAGAGTAGCAACACACCTTTCCATAACCAACACAGTGTCAATCCCAGCAGAGCTCCCCACCCTCTCCCCAAATACACAAACCCATTCCGCAGCAGCCCCAATCCCTATCCTCACATCCTGATGCTCCATCCCCACCTCCTAGTCCCCATTCCCACATACGTTTCCCCATCTCCACATCTCGGTTCCCTTTCCCACATCCCAGTCTGCATCCCCCTATCCGGGTCCCAAGCTCCACGTGCCGGTCCCTCAGTCATCCTCCCTTTTCCTGGGGCTGCCAACACCAACCTGCTGAGCGAGGCTAGCGGCTGCCCGAGGCCGTAGAGCATGGCTCTGCCCGCAGCGGCCGCGGCCGCCTGTCCCGGGAGCGCGGTGGGGCTCAGCTGCACCATGCGGCCGTCGCTGGGGGGCTCTACTGGGGCAGGCGCCGTGGCCGGGGCGGGGGCGGGTGGCCGACACAGCTCCGTGGTGGGCACCCTCTGGCGCGCCTCTGCGTCGCGGCCCTTTAAGTCCCGGGCGCCGCCCCCCGGGCCGCGGCGGGGGGCCAACTCGATGACAGGGGGGTCGGGGGCCGGACGGCCGGTCTCCTTGGCAACGCCGTTGAGGAGGAGGAGGTGTGGGGGGGCCCGCTGCGTCTCCATGAGGGATTCGGACTCGGGCTCAGGCTCGGAGCCGCCCCCACCTCCGCTACCGCCGCTGCTAGTCTCCGGGGCTGCATCCCGCGGGGGGTCACTGGGGGGCAGCTCAGCTGGCTGCCGCTCCATCATCCTGCAGGGACACAGACAGACAAGCAGACATACGCGGACCGACAGACGGACGGACAGTCACACGGACGGACACGCAGCGCCCGCAGGCGGGGACAGGAAGCGTGGGGACCCGGGGAGGGGGCGGGGACGGGGGACAGAGACAGGGAGGGGGAGACACACACGAGGAGGGGAGAAGAGACGACCAGAAGAAAGAGGGTTTTATTTATTATTTATTAAATGGGAATGAAAGGAGACGAACGAGAGAGGGAGAAAAAACGGAAAAGAATAATTCTTCCCAGAGGCGCAGTGTCCGGCCTGGGGCCCTGGAAGGGAAAGAGTAGATAGAGAGGCGCAGAAAAACGGGTACACAGTCTCCTTTGCCTGCCTTCCTCTCTGTCCGCTCCTCTTGTCCCACTCCCTTCCTCCTCGATCCTCTAGCCCCCTCCCCGCTCTCCTCTTCCTTCTTCTTCATTCTCCCCTCCCCCAATTCTCTAATCCCCTTTTCCCCTCTCTCTCCCTCTACTCTCCCGGTCCCAGCTCTCCACCTTTTCCTGGGGCCTCGGGGACCTCGAACAGATAATCAACTGAGGGTGAAAAGTGGAGGGCACAACTAGGAGGAAGGGAAGGATTTTCCCCTCCTTAATCCCTCAACTTAGTCTCCTTTCCCTCCCGCCGATACCCCCTTCCCCACCCTTCGTCTATACTCTGCCCCGCATCCGAAAACCCAGCCCCCGTGGGGGCAAGGTGAGGTGTTGATAGGGTTTGAGGCTTCTCAGGGTTCCAGGCACTAACAGATAACAGCGGCAGTTTCCATGCGGGCAAAGTGGAGTGGGGAGAGATTATTCCCATTAATACAAGACTCTAACACACACCAAGAGAGAGTAAACTAATGCGGTTGAGAGAAAAGAGAGAGAGGAGTAGGTCTACTTTATGACTTGTCTAGTTTGTCTCCATGGGTCCTTTTCAGCTGACAGGGGCATTGGTTCACAATTCTCATCCTTAGAGTAACTACGGGCCTGCCTCCTCATTACGCAAATACAATTTTAAAGGAGCTTCAGAGACCAGAGTGCGTTCCTTGACAAGATCTGAGGTCTGTGAGCCCTTCTCTGTCATTCTCCAGTTGATGCTCGCTCCTGCCTCCCCACCCACCCACACACACACCGCTGGGCTGCCGGGGCCAGACTAAACCCACGGGGGGACCAGGGCCCGGGGCTCGGACTGCGCAGGCACAACAACCCGCCACTGCACGAAACATGCGTTCGAAACGTGATTCCGAAAGACGCGAACAATGGCTAGGAGCCGGCCGCAAGAGTCAAACCGACCTCGAGAAGACGCGTAGTGGCGGAGGCTCCTTGACGAGGACCCTCGGGTTTGCCTCTGGGCACAGAACCCCAAGCTCCGCCTCCCCTGGCTGCAGGGAGGGGGTGGCGCGGGTTGCTGGCAGGGGAGGAACTAGGCCTGAAGATACGAGCTCCGGGGATTCGAACCAAGCGGGATCGTACTCGCACTGGGTACTGATAACGAAAGTCTAGGACAGGCTCTTGATCGCGGTTTGGAGGCGAATTCCCCGGGCTCTGGGTCGCTCAGCCTTCTTCTTCCCTCTCCCGGTCACCCCCCAGCCCCTACAGGGCAGGGAAGTAAAGTACACATACGTCCTTGGGAAAGGAATGCTAACTACCCCCAGGTTGGAGGATTGAAGGGAGGAGGAATCCCCCAGGCGTACGGCTACGAGGTGCTTCCCAAGCTTATCTATAAGGAATCTGCACTGAACATGAAATCGCCAGGGCAAGCCCCAAACCAGGCTGGCTCTGAGCTGAGTAGGTGACTTGGTGGAGTCAGGAAAGCTCTGGGTTCAGATTCTGACTTTGACCTTTGCCGGCCGTGAGCCCTTGGACCAGGCCGTTCATCTCACGTCGGAGTCTCAGTCTTGTCTTTAAGAAAATAGGGGTAAGGTTCCTTGCACTACCGCCCGACGCGGGGAGGATCGAGGAGGTGTGGGGAAAGTTTTGTCAACCTGAAGAGAACGAGAGAGAAAAATGGGGAAAAGGGTTCCAGCTAGGAATGGATTCATGGATCGGACAATCCCTGGGGAAGAGGGCTGGGGGAAGAACCCCAAGGAAGGACGATAGATCCCTGACATTGAGGGTGGCTCGAGAACCCTGGATCTCGAAGGCTAGCGGCCCTAAGAGAGCCTGCCCCGCTTAGCTCCGATCTGGCTCGGCCCTGCCCTGCTCTGCCAGTTCCAGCCCTTCCCTCCTCCGGCCCTGGGCCTGCCACACCAGCTGCGGGCTGAGCCTGGCTGCCCAGCTCCTCTGCGAGGGGCTAGGAACCTCTGCAACATGGTCTCCAGGGCCGCAACCCTTTCCAGACTCGGGCTTTGACAGCTCCAGGCCAGAATGGCCACCTCACTCTGCATTTGAATAGAAGCTTTCATAAATAAATGTTCCCTAAACTGAATTTGTTTGATTTTATTCTGGTAAAAGTAAAACAAAAACGAAGAAATAAAATAAAACAAAACAAACCGAAAAACGGGGCGCGTCCGGCAGACAGCATTCGGCAGAAACACTCGGCATTGGATGTCTGAGGCTTCCGGAGACAATGGCCGGTGTCTGCTAGAACGCGAACATTCCCGGCGGGTAGGCGTAGGAGGAAGCAGCTGGGGCTAAGGACCCTCCTGGACTAAGAGAGTCCAAACGTTCGCCCGCCATCATCCGAGCGGGAGTGAGCTCAGCAGCCCCGGGCTCCCTGAGCCTATACAGGGGCCGAATGGAGGGGTGCCCTGGGCTCGCTCTCCTTCCAGGTTAGCCTGGGCAGAGGCCTTCCCTTGGGCAGGGGTGGATGGCTTAGTAGATTTCCCGCTACTTCGGCCGTAGGAGCAGGACTCCAAGTCCAGGGCAGAGTTCTCTCGGGGAGAACGCCCCTCCCGGCTCCTCCAGCGGCTTCCTTCCCCTCACCTCCCCCACCCCGGACAGTTTCCCCAGCTCCTTAGCTTTCTAGAGCCTCAAATGCCGGGTGGTGGTCTGGTCTCGCTCCCTGGGCGGGCAAACAGGGGTTGGGAAGGACTCTAATCTGAACCGTGGAGAAGGGAAAGCGCTTCCTGGTTGTTAATTTAAAGGGGACAATGAGGGGCGGAGTGGGGACTGAGGGAGTGAAACTCTAAATACCACGAGGGCTGCGTACACGGCGAGAAAAACTCCCCACAACAATCATCTGAATGCCAATACAACGAATAATAATAATAAGCTTTCCTAAAGGGCTTTCCTCCCAGCAATCCTTTGCGATAGGATGTTCTCGGACATAAACCCCGTTTTACAGAAGAGGAAACTGAGGCCCCGCGGGAGAAAGCGATTTGATCAAACGGTCGTACAATTCGAGAACTATATTAGAGGGGAGCTTTAAACCAAGGCTCCCAGGGCAGATTTAAGATTCTTTCCATTCACACCTCTTCCTTTGTGCTCCTCCTTAACGACATCTCAGCCATCAATTCCCGAGGCCATTGTGTTCTATGGACATTAGTCTCTCTTGAACCGGGTTTAGCATCAGGGGACCTGGGATCAAACCCTATATTGCCTTTGTGACCCCAACGGTTCAGTCTTTTCACCTTCTTCACCTCAGTTTCCCCTTTTATAAAATGAAGGGTTTATACTTGAAGGTCTCTCTAAAGTCTCATCAAACTCAAATCTCTAATTTTCTCTGTGCCTTGGAGGGTCGCAGATCCGGTCCTTCCACGAAGCCCTTGGACACTCAGCATTTGCCCAATCAACCCTTGTTGAATGAATGACTTACTCCATATGTGACCTCCGGCAAGCCTTGTCCCTTGTCTGGGTCTCAGTTTCCTCATCTATATAATGATGTGGCTGGACACTATGATCTCTATGGTTGCGCTTGAAAATATTTGTGTTGTCTCTGCCTCTCCCACCCTCAATAGATGGTCAATTTCTTAAGGAAAGGACCGGGTTTTTGCTGATTTGTCTTCACTCAAAAAAAAAATGTTTTTGTTTTGTTTTAATGAACTGCTTAGTTCAGACTCTAGAAAATGTCTTCCTCCTAGGAGAGGTAAAAACAAACAAACAAACAAAAAAAGATCCCATTCCCATAGCCTTCACAACTGTTTCTTCAAGTAAGTAGGAAGGTATCTATATAGTTCCCTATCTCCACCTTCCACCTGATGGCTGGACCAGCCCAAGGTCACACAGATAGGCGGCATCAGAGCCAGATTCCTAACTATCCTTGCTGCTGCACTGGGGTCTACAGCGCTGTCTAGCTCCTGGCATAGACACCCACCACCCCCAGTCCTCCTCCCAAGTTCTGAGCAGCAGAGCACCCTTGAGTTGTCAGGAAGGGACAGGAACGACCAATGATGAAAGCTGCCTGGAATATTAACACCAAATACCCAGTAGGAGAAAGGAAAAACACCTCCAACATTTTGCACGATGACTGAGATACTGAGAGCGGGGCAGTGGAACCCCCAAAATTACTGTCTCCCTCAAGGTAGAGTCCCCTCCAGCATTAGCCTCCAGAGCTGGGCGTCCTAACATAGCCTTGGGCCCAAATGTCTCTTCTGGCACCCTCAGGTTAATCTGAGATTCAGAAATAAAGGTGGATCTACCAAAACTTTGGAGACTGGGCAGGCCTCGGAGAAGCTTTCTGTAATTCAGCGGCAATTCCAGTTAGGTGAGAGGGCTACAGTCTCCTCACTCCTCACACAGCCCTTTGCCTAGCCCTAGGCCATTGCTTCGGATTGATCTCACTTTCCCCGAAACAGTGTGGTTTTTACGCTTGTCTTCCTCCCGCCTCCAAGGGTATAAGCTTGAGAGCAAAGCCTCGCTCACATTTTTCTTTCTAACTCCGGAGGCAGCACAGGAACCTAAGCGCTTAATAAACACTTCTTGAATTAGATTGAATTTTTACAAAAGAGTAAACCGAGAGAGCCTAAAAGAGAAAAGGACTTATCCAAAGTCACATAGTGGATCGATACCAAAGACACAAGCAAATCCTTCCAACCCTGACCATCATAACCCTCCTCCTTCACCACCAGCAGCATCTTAATTCCCATATTTCCGCATAGTTGTTACCACCACTATCCTCATCATACTCTTAGACTACCTAGCTTCTGCTAAGATCTCCCTCAGTTACCACCTTCTCTAATATTCCCAGTTGACAGCGCTCTCATGTTCAGTTTACTTGCGATTTAATGTTTCATTGACGCGTTCTATTCCCCAGTAGAATAAAAGCTTTTTGAGAACAAGGGTCGTTTTGCATTCTTTTAATTTTGTATCCCCGTTGCCTAGGTCAGTGTCAGCACTGAAAATAATGTCTGTTGAATTTATTTGACTCCCAGTCTCGCTTCGTACTAAGCTAGACCCTTCCTGATCGCCAGTGTAATGCCCGCCCCCCCCCGCCCCCGTCTTGAAATTATTCTGCATAAACATTGTACTATATTGAATTGAATGGTCTGGTCCTTTCTGAGTCGTGGGGGAGAATTCCTTCTCCTCTGCTTCTTTTCCAGGCCCAGAAAGCTGAATGGTCCTGAGCACTGTCCTCCCCAATCATCAGTACTCCCACCGTGGGGCTGCGGGGTCGCCCTGGTACCCAAGAGCTTCTCGGTCTACTACTTTTAATGGCTGCCCCTCCCAACACACACAGAGACACACAGTCCCTTCCCCCCACTCCAGCTAAAAGGCGGTCAAACTCACCTGGGGCATATTTAAAGGGACAGGATCCTAGCAATCGGTTCTCCACCTCTCCCCACTGCGGGGGGCGGGCCGGTAGGGGGAAAGGACTAGCCGGGGTCCTCGGTCTCCACCTCCCTCTCTAGAAGGCAATGGCAGCGGCCTACTCCATCGCGGCCTGCCAGGCAAGGAGGGCCGGGAGGTTCCAGGAAAGATGGGGGGGGAGAGAGAGAGAGAGAGAGAGAGAGAGAGAGAGAGAGAGAGAGAGAGAGAGAGAGAGAGAGAGAGAGAGAGGGTCAGTCTTTCTGCCGGTTATCCACGTGTCCCCCCTCCAAGCCCCAGGGATCTGGACGGATATAGAAAACACGCCCCATTGAGCAAAATCCCGCTTCCAGGGCTAGCGTATATGGGAGGGGTCCTTTGGGGTAACTGGGCACACGGACCCCACAAAAATTTCCAGCCGTCACCAATCAGAAACAGAAGCACCTCCCACCCTAGTGACACCCCAACCTAGACCGGAGCAGGCTAGGAGTCCCAGTGCCCTCGGAGGTCCAGGGGGCCGCGGGCCTAGCTGGGTCTGACCAGTGCCCTGTGCTGCCCTGGCCCAGCCCGCCTCCGAGGGGCGGGTCCTTCTTTGTGTGTCCGGCTTCGAGAGCTGTGTCTGACCAGTCCCAGGTTGTCCAGGGGGTACCCGTTAGGAGGAGGCCCAGGGAAACCCTGAGGTAGCCCCTGAAGCCTGGAAGGTTGGGGCGGAGTTTAGGGACCATGGAGCAGATAGGGAAAACGAGAGCCCCCAGATAGGGAAAACGAGAAGGGGGGAGGTCCTTGCTAAAGGTCCTGGCAGAGCTGGCACTAGCAGAGGCCGGGCTGCTCTTTACCAGTCCTTCTCCCGGAGAAGGGCCCGTTCAATGTAACTAGGGGCAAGCTGGAATAGCTTTGGCGTGGGGGGGGGGGGCGCCAAGAAGTAGTCACCCTCTGCCGATTCACTGAAGTCCGACACCAGCCTAGCATTGAGGCTGGTCTTCGCCGGAAATCAAGCCAACCCGCTTCGGGCGCCGGGAGATCCGAGGAAGGGTTCCTTGTCTAGTTGGGCAATGGTTTGGGGAGAGTGGGCCTGAAAATCATTATTTGAGTTTATCTTGTCCGCCGTTCCTAGGTGATGACTTAGGCAGGAATAATAACTCCCATTTATGGAGCGCTTTCAGATTTGCAGAGCGTTTTCCTCACAAGACTGAGGTCAATTTCCCGATGCCTCCCCTTAGCTCCCTCGTCCTTCCACTTCCCCAGTTAGGAAAATTCCCCAAAACGAAAACGAAAAGAATCCCCCGAATCTCGCCGCGGAGAACCCCGCCTTGGAGGCAAGGGCGTCTTCTCCTACGGTGGGAAGTGGAGGGTTGGGCTGGTGGAAGCCATTGTCCGCATTATCTCGGGCAAAAAGGGGAGGGGGGACAGCCTGCTGCGGAGAGACAAGAGGGTCTTTATTTTATTGGAGGCCTAAAGGTGGCATTTCTATGGATCAAAATCTCGGGATAATAAAGAGGATCTCCTTCCCTACACCTGTGTAGGCACTGCCTTGCAGAAAATATCTGGATAATTCTTCCGGGTTTTTCCAAAGAACTTATTCTCTCTGGCTCTGGATTCACACGGAATATGGGGTAGGCTGGGGAAGAAAACTCTGCTCTCTCCTTCTGACCGTCTGACTGTGCCTCAGGCTCTCTCAGAATCGCCTCCAAGCTCCGCCAGAGACGGCTTTCTCGGCTTGGTGTTGGTCCCGGCTCCAGCCAGAGCAGGCGGCCCAGGAGGAAGCGGAGCCTCCCTTCACTGCGGAAAAGGAATCCGGGAGAAAGATCTCGCCGCACAAAGCGCTTTGTTCCTGTCCAGAGAGGGGCCTAGGACCCATCTCCCTGCACGTCCCCCGAGAGGACTGAGAAGATGAGGGTGGAAACCAAAGCACTCCCAAGCTTTCGTTTTCTTCTGGAAATGAAAATCTTCGCCAAATTGGCAAAGAATTGGGGGCCTCTGCCAGGCAATCCTAGACGCCGCTATCTCCTGACCTCCCTCCGAGACAGATGCGGATATTTCGGTCGGGCTATCGGGGACGCCAAGCTTGGGGCTGGATGGGGTGAGGGTGAGTGGGCCAGAGCAGAGAAAGATTTCTCTGGCTGAGTGGGGCTGGTGCATTACACTACACCAGAGATACCCCAGGCCAGAGCTCCAGCCCAGCAGACAAAAAAAGCCCTGAAATGCAAAAGCCCTGAAATTGACGAGCCGGAGTAAGCTGGCCAGAGCCCAGCAGAGTGGAAAGGGCAGACCAGGCCGGGAGGGGGTCCTGCTGGTCTGGGGAAGGTTTGCTGTGGAGAGACCACCAGCCTCCTAGAGTAGAAGGGACTGCAAGAGAGGGGAGGGAAGCAATCCTACCTGGCCCTGGTCCCCTTCTGTCAAATCTGCCCCGCCCCAGCCCGAAGTCCAGAGCCCCCGCCACCCTGTCCGGAAAAGGACGAATACCAAGGTACTGCCCATCCACTGGGCGTCCGACACTCCGAGCTGCCATCGGTCCCCCAGGAAACCATAGTCGGGAATAAACCAGGAAGCCCCGCGAGGTGCCCTGGACCTCCCCGGCCTGGGCAGACGCGCGCGCGCAAATACAGACACACACACACACACATACACACACACCCCAGCACACTGACAGGCTCGCAACCATATTCGGAGGACAGAACGCCCTAGGTTCTAGCCTGGCCAAAACCCCGCACCCACAGTCTTCTACAATACCCCAGACCCGAGTCTGAGAACACACAGCCCCCGCTACACAGCCATACGCGGACCCACAACCCGACGGCTCAACTACCCCTGCCAGAGTACAAGCCTGGGTGGTCACACGCACATAGAGCCCGGCCCCATGGCGGTGGCTACGAGAGGGCCCGGCCCGGCTGATACCCCGCACACACAACCCCCGCACAGACACACACTGCCACAATCTGGACGCACGCACACAACTAAGAAGAAGAAATAAACACCAACCACCGCCTTGCGCATTTCTGTATATTGCGTAAGAAAAAAAGGGGAAGGAAGGAAGAGGGTCTGGGAGGCGGGGGCCCGGTTGATGGGGGGCGGGGTGGGGGTGGGGGGCGCGGCGGTTAAAACATACACTCACACTATCGAAAGGAAGCTGGGAAAAT